TTGGCGCCGGCATCTCCTGGCCCTTTAAGGGTTTAAGAAGCCAGGAGGCGAGGTGGGGTTTTAAGGTCATGTGACTGCCGTGATTCGCCGTCACGACTGTCACATGATCGGGAAAGGTCCCGATCGAAAGAGGAGATCGGGAACTTTCCGTGAGTACCGGACATGTGTGCTGGGAGAGCGCAGGGCACGCGCTCTTAGCATATATGTTTTTGTTAATTGCATGCAAATATGCGGCCGCTCAGCATCAAGGCCCAGACGCCAGGAGGCCGCACATTTGCGTGTGGGCCGGCGTGAAGAGGTTAAAGATCTCTACTTTGGCAGATTTATTAAAGTCATCAAAATATTAGATAACCAGCATTGAAAGCAGAAAAGTCTTTCTGATGACGAAACGCATTGGGTGGAGCTTCAGCGTGACGTCACCGCGTTCTGGTGGGACGGCAACCATTTTGTTGGTTTGAAACTTTTCTGTTTTCAATGCTGGTTATCTTACACTTTGATGTGCGTGGATCTTTAATAAATCTGCCAAAGTTTAATTTAACTACTGCACTATGAGTTGCCTTTTCTTTTTACCTATTTTCTGACTGTCGGATGGGAGTTTCTTCAAATTTGGAGATCTTTAAAGTGGAGAAGTTATCCTTTATCTGGAGAGGATTTCTACTGACGATTGTTTGCTGCATTGATGTTATATATATATATATATATATATATATGTTCCTAGATTGTAAGCTCCAAGGAGCAGGGCCCTCGAACCCCTCGTGTATTGTATTGTACTGTATTGTTACTGTACTGTCTCGTGTACGGTCTCCCATTATAATGTACAGTGCTGAGCAAACCTTTGGCACTATATAAATACTGTATAATAATAATAATATATAAATACTGTATAATAATAATAATATCACAGTGCGCTTGCTGACCTGTTTTGTACAGTCAAATTGTCTGGTAAGAGGCCATCTTTTTAGGGTTTATGGTGACGGTTTTGGATCATATTATTCCCTTGCATCTGGCTTCATTTATTTGAGAACTTATATGGACATTATTTTGATGTTTATAAGATTTCATAATTATCTCTGCATTTTTAATTTTATTTTCAAACAGTCCCTATTTTATGTCTGCAATGTCTGCACCCCCAACACCCAAGGAACACCCAAGGAACTCTAACGACCCAATGGTTTTCCTAGTAAAAAAGATATGCTGACAAAGGCATTGAGGTTTTATCTTGTTTATTGAATGATTCAAATACAAGCCTTGTTCCTCATGACCACACGGTTACAGAGAGGCCTTGGTCTACCGCTTTGATTGTAGGGGCAAGAATGGAAGCCAGAACAAAAAAGCATTATGGGTATAAAAGGCCCTTGGCAAAATGGAGGCATTCTGTTTACACGGGTATAACTACATAGATGTCTCAGATGTTGGGTCAACAAGCTACTGAACCACCCTGGAAACATAGATTGTTGAGCCCCTACACTATCCACATGCATACATTATGTTCCTTTGCGGTTGCTTATCATGCATTTGAAGAAGCAGACAGGGCTCATTGTGAAAACTATGAGCAGTTCAGCTCCTGTGGACCCACTGTGAACATTACCCAGAGAGAACATCTGCTGCAACATCCATGATGGGCCGTGTCATGGGCGGCTGTTGTAACTTGCATTCAGCACCAGCTCAGAATAAAAAACATAGAAAAAGATGGTCCTATTCCTTCTTGTTTGATGTTGAATGCCTTTAAATCCTTCATCATGAATGTTGCTATTTTCATAGGCAAAGCTTTCAGTTTGTTAAAGGAAATTCAGTGCACAGTAAGCCTCCATGTACATAAATTCAGGAAAGAGGGGGAAGGGTAAAGGGCAAATCTAAAATGCAAAGTGCAGCAGCAACCATAGCATTTGATGTTAAATCATTCAAAAATGAATTCTGATTGGTCACCATGGGTAACAGTGTCTTGCATATTGCTCTTACGTGATACACCTGTAATTACCCGAAAATGTCTTTGTGGTAGCACTATGTTGTGGTGTGGATTAAATTCTGGATATAGCCTATAGGTAAGGTCACAAGACAATTATAAACAATTTTAATATATTTATATATAACCATTTTTTTCATCTATAATATAATTCTAGGACCGTACAACCTGATGGATATTCAGATAAATTATTGCACAAGTAAAATATTATTTAATAACACTGTTCAAAAAGCACTTAGGTCCTGCAGATCTTAACAACCAATCAGAGTCCAGTTTTCACCAGTCTTGAGCGCAGGCTCATGAAAACATAATTATGATTAGTCGATATTACATCACAGTTCTGCTGTCTGTTTGGTAATGATAACACAAAAAAAACTACACAGTAGTGTTTATTAAATGAAAATGACTTGATTGCAAGGTGTATGATTAATGGACAAGGTTTGGGCCATGTAAGCGTTAGCAATCCAAGGCAGCCAATAAGAATCAAGGTCACATTTTGCTAGCTATGCCAAAAAAATGCAAGCCGGCATCTGATTGGTCTTCTGTAGCCCTTTTATTGTCACTGGGGCTTACATAATGGAAAGTGAAATTCGGCCAACCAGACAGCTAGCTTTCATCTTCAGAACTATACTAGTAAAAATCCAGGCAATACTTGCCCATTATAGGAAACGCTTTAACTTTTCTTTTTGATTGATCTAAATAAAATGGTTTAATGTTGCAATGTATACATGTATTCATAGTTTCACAAAAATAAGTTACGTGATGACTGGTAAATATATATTGTGCCTATAAAATTATTGGGGGTCGGGTGTTCGGAGTATAGTGCACGTACACATATATATATTTTTTATATAGATCTCTTTATATAAACATTTGGACACAAAAAAAATATATAGAATTATAGCTATGTGACTAAACATTGACAGCATTCCATTAAAGGAATATGGTGACACCACTTGGCCAGTTTTTGGCTTGCCAGCCAATGTGGAACTGCAAGTCCCATCCTGCCATGTACAGAGTCGTACTGTATAGTGACTGAGGTATGACAAATAAAGCAATATCCCATAGCATCCAACACACTTGTCACCACCCAAGGTTCATCTTAAGGTTTCTCCTTAAAATTGGAGGGTCAGCATCTGCAACATCTGTGTTGGGAGGATTTGCATGAATAAAATTTTTATCTAGAAAAGGATTCAAAATTAGCTCCTTTATAGCTTCATTATCGTCACTATGGGTGGGGTTGGAAGGTTAAGGGGAGCAATGGACCTGCAGGGAAAGTAAGATAATCAAGGCAGCATTTGGGGTAACGTGACATTGAGTGCTGGTGTGTACTACTCAATACACCATGTTTCACTCCTGAGATCATTGGTTGGAGGGCATCAAGAAGGCACTTTGGAAGCCCCCTTTTAAAAACTCTTTGAAAACTGCCAACACATCCCATATAGCACTCCATATAACCAGTGAAGGTGAAACCTATTTTATTAAATTTCAAGGCCCATTTGAAGGGAAACATTTTAGCTATGGTCATCTATTATGTTGCAATTGAAATAAAGAATTTGGTCAGTGTGGGGTTGGTGCTGGAATGAAAGTTTGAGGGAACTACCATTCACCTTTTTTGCTTTCTGGGGGGATTGTAGCATTTAAAGTTCCAACAAAAGTTAAGAGTTTGGTCGTGGTGGACGACAGCTTAACTTTTCATACTGCATGTCAGCCTCATAGACATCTGAGTTCAAGTAACCATGAACTTGATGACATGTTGGTGTAGGACTGGACAGTAAAATATGGCTTCCACTTGGCCAATGTGGCCCGTAGGCACCTGGGAAATTACCAGCTGTCTGGCACTGCATGATAGGTATTACAGTTCTGAACCTGTGGAACTGCCCAAGTGGACTCACCCAGTTGTGTGTAAAGGTAGCAAGCAACTGGAAGCATTAACAGAACATTATAACTAATTGGTATGGGCAACAAACTCCAACCAGTCAGGAGCTATTCTCTTCTACATTGCCTTAGCAAAATGGCAGCCCTTATGGGCTGCTAAGGGCAACAGATGTTGGTTATCACCTCCATTTTTATACAGGGTATGTATCATGGGATAGTTTAGAAGCAATGATAAAAAGTGTGATCATGAGGCAGACTAATCTGTCTTGTCCGACTTAAAGGGTTAGTCCACTCAAAACAATTATGGGTAGAACACACAGTGGGCAGAATGGCTCACTGGCCTATTATATCTCTATAGGGATGCCCATGGCGAGATCTCGTTGTTACATGCAGCTTTTCTTTTCTCTATAACGTACAAACAAATTATGACAGTAACATGAAACTGACATAGCAGGTAGGCAGAGCAGGGAATCAGGACACACAGAATTGTGCTCTGGTATCCTCAAGAGATATAAGAAGGAATTTCATGAACTGACCTGTCCATCTATGTGCACCCATAAATTTAATATCCGTTTGGGTGGACTTACCTGTTAAAGGGGCACCGTGGCTTTGGCATGAGATGGGGTGGAGAGTAGGGTTCCTTTAAGGTCTGGCATACACAGCATCACAAATAAATACAACATACATAAATCTCCCTCAATATATATATTAGAAATATGTATATATATATAACTATATATTTATATATATATATTTTATATCTTTATATCATCAAACACTATATACAAATGGACATGCGGAAAGGGAAAGTAGGAGGGGTCACAGCATCATACAGGGATGAGAAATGCCCCCCAAGGGGAAGGACCTCAGGGAGGAGGTGGGACATACAGTACATACAAGAGGAAGGAACCATCACATTGATTGTGTGGGTGAACTCATGTCAACAATGTCCATAAGTGTGTCTTGGTTCTACAACACATGATTGATTGTGAGTGTAGTGATGTCACAGTAATGATACAATGTACAAAGACTCCCCTGATCTTCGCACAGGCGGCCTTAGGGATGGTGTGGTGTTGTCACAGTTTGCCGCAGTTTTTTGTTTCCTTGCTGGAAGAGCAGGAGAGTCGATGGGCGATGGTGGTGTGATGTCACAGTGATGTCACAGCTCGCTGCAGCGCTCCTGCTTGCTGTAGTGGTCAAATTGGTTCTTCCAGCGCATCATGTAGGCACTCCAGCGGTGGAACTCAACCTTCCACTGGCGTTCAGCTTCATCAATGTTATCTGAGAGGGGAAATAGCAATGGAGGGAGGATACAAGGGAGAAGAAAGTTGGGACAGAGAGAAGATAAACACAGGACAGAGGAGAAAGAAAAGAAAATCACTGCTTCAAGTCTGAGGCAAGTTTAATATTTTTTAAAGTCTGGAGATAAAATGGTGGACAGGTTGGATATTAGTTGGCCTGAACATCAGTAGTCTAAGGCAGCAGTGGCCTACATCTAATGTTAGACACATTATAATCACATTGTACAATCTCCTTTATATCTTGCATAGCTAGCCAAATGCAACAAACCTTTACGTGGGTGCATTTAGCTTCTGGTTCAAGATGTTTCTTTACAGACCTGCAGTTGACCTCCTTCTGACCTGCTATACATTTCCTCAGGTTATTTGGCTTTAACATTGGACTTATTTTGAAAGAAAGCAGTTCTGACATGAACAAAAGCCTCTGGCCTACATACCTGGATATAAACTATATGGACAAAAGTATGTGAACACTTCTCCAAATTATTTGAGTTGAGGGGGTTCCTTTGAAGGGCACTGTTAAATACAGCATAGAAAGACATGTTTTATTTAATTGTGCTCTTCCAACCTTTTTGGAACTGTTTGGTGAATTCCCTTTTTGTTCTAGCATGACTGTGCCTCTGTGCATAAAACTAACTCCATAAAGACATGGTTTGGTGAATTTGGTGTAGAGCAGAGGTCTCCAAACTTTCTAAAGAAAGGACTGTCCTTCAGAATTTAGGGAGGCCACACTGTGCCTAGTGGGAGTAAACAATGCACTATCTTTGGTAAAATACAGTTGGTGTCATTGGGAGGAATAGTGTCCCATTTTTGTTGTCACTGGAAGGAAATATGCCACGTTGTTGGTGACAGTGGAAGGAATAGTGTCCCATTGTTGATGTCAATGGCAGGAATTATGCCCCCTTGGTGGTGTCAGTGGCAGGAATACTCCATCAAGGGCCAGCCGCATCCGGCTCAAGGGCCGCAGTTTGGAGACCACTGGTGTAGAGGAATTCAAGTGTCCCAGGCAGAGGCTCACTCTCCACCCTACTGAACACTGTTACGAATTGGAATGCTAATGTGAGACAGATCTTCATGTCCTATATGAGTAGCCAACCCCACAAAATGTTCTTGGGTATGAATGGAAAAAAATTCTCACGGACAAACTCTAAACTTTTGCAAAAAGCCTTCTCTAGAGGAGTGGAAACTGCAAAAGATATGGGGGAGACTGGATAGGTGTGATGGTCCAGTGTCCAAAAGCTGAACATAAAATTTAAGTTGAATGGATGGTTTTTGCAGACCTACGATTGGGCTGTTAGTAATTGTAATGGAGATTGTTCAATCAGTTTGTAATGTGTGTGGCCATCTGTAGAAGAACACTTCTCACTTAGACAAAACCAACACTCCAAGAACCTGTTCAAGCAAAGGAGAGCACAAGTTAGAATGTGCAGTCATAAAGTTGAATCTTCCATCCCTAGAGATGGAAAAAAAAGCCTTCCCTAGAGGAGTGGAAACTGCAAAAGATATGGGGGAGACTGGATAAATGTGATGGTCCAGTGTCCACAAGCTGAACATAAAGTTTAAGTTGAATGGATGGTTTTTGCAGACCTACAGCTGGGCTGTTAGTAATTATAATGGAGATTGTTCAATCAGGTTGTAATGTGTGTGGTCATCTGTAGAAGAACACTTCTTACTTAGACAAGACCAGCACTCCAAGAACCTGTTCAAGCAAAGGAGAGCACAATTTAGAATGTGCAGTCATAAAGTTGAATCTTCCATCCCTAGATATACAGTGGACAAAGGAAGTGTCAAGAGAAGAGCAAAAGCAAGAAGTTACAAATTAAATCTGAGTAAAACACAGTGCAGGGATGGATGCTGGAATGAAAGTATGGAGGAACTGCCATTAATTATAGTTGCTTCTTTGGAGGACTGTAACATTTCAAAGTTTCAAAGAGTTTGTTTAGGGTAGACAACAGCTTGACCTTTCATAACTCCCTCTCCCAGATGGTCCAACCCAGTCCAAGTAACCTTGAACCTGATGACATGTTGGTATAGGACTGGACAGCAGACATATGGGGGTTTATTTACTAAAGCTGGAGAGTCCAAAATCAGACTCCCTTCTGCATAGAAACCAATCAGCTTCTAACCTCAGCTTGTTCAATGAAGCTTTGGCAATGAAACCTGGAAGCTGATTGGTTTCTATGCAGAAGGGAGTCTGATTTTGGACTCTCCAGCTTTAGTAAATAAACCCCATGGCTTCTACCTGCCCTAAGTGGCCCGTAGGCACCTGTGAAATCCCCCACTGGTTGGCAGTGCATGATGGTTATTATTGAGGATACACCATTAGAACACCTAAATTGACTGCTCCTGTTTTAGGTTAAACCCAGGTCTATAGATATTTTCCCCTACTGCATTCTGATCAACCAGAGCACAGGCTATGCTGGCTCCACTCGCAGTGAGTTTTAGCCTGCCAACTAAGTGATTGACTGGAGCTGCCCAAGACAGCACAGGCAGTCTGCGAGCGATCTGAAGTCAGCAGTAAAATAATATCCATGATATAGGGAGGATGAGGACTACACTTTAAATGAAAGTTATCATGAAGGAAACATGGCGTCCTCTGAGCAGTTGGTCAGGGCTGAGGATCATGATGTGATGTGAGCAGCTAAGCAGGGCTGAGAATCAGGATGTGATGTGAGCAGCTAAGCAGGGCTGAGAATCAGGATGCAGTGAGCAGCTAGTGATTCAGGGCCATGAATCCTCATGTATTGTGAGCAATTGGTTAGGGCTGATCCTAGCTTTGCTCTTTGCAGGAAACACTGGCAAATACCCCAGTAAACAGAGGTGTTTGAATCTGATTTAATGCTATAAAAGCATTGGAAGGCTAGAATAAGCGATAAGGAAGCGGTATTGTTAATAGTACAGTATGACATCATTAAAATTAATACTTGTGAGCTACTAAGTGGTATTAATATATAACAATATTGGTGACTTGATACTGAAACCTAATATAGTGGTGCATCAACACTAGTACACATACTCATAAAACTGTGGCAAATTGGTAATTGATAAATAACTCATTTGTGTCGCGTTCCACCTATAAAAAACTAAAAAGTGTATAAAGAACTAAAGAGTGTATCCCCTATATTATTAAATAATATGACAATCCTCCCATGCAATCGTGCAACCATTCTCAAAACACTAATATATAAATAGATTTATGTTCTTAAAAATAAATATATATATATATATATATATATATATATATAAAATATATATATATTATTGATTAATTTAGCACATAGGTATATATATATTTATTTTTAAGAACATAAATCTATTTATATATTAGTGTTTTGAGAACGGTTGCACGATTGCATGGGAGGATTGTCATATTCAATAATATAGGGGATACACTTTTTAGTTCTTTATACACTTTTTAGTTTTTTTATAGGTGGAGCACGACACAAATGAGTTATTTATAAAGTACAGTATGACATGTTTTAGGACGTAAAAGGTAGGAAACAGTTAGACAGGTGCCTGTTTTGGGCTTAAATCCCTATGCCCTCCTTTTCCACATCTCTTTACAAAAGATACTAAGATCTGCTATAACTAGTGGCTTACAATAGACTTTAAATTGCTTTTAATTTACAATTCATCTTTTTTTAAATTATTATTACTGCAGCGGTATAAATGAAAAACAGCTGATAAAAATGTAGCTCATAGGAAGCAATCAAATAATTGCTAACCTGCAGACAGCACAGTGGCTAAGTGGTTAGCACTTCTGGCTAGCGGCTCTAGGGATGTTGGTTCAAATCCCAGCCACAGCGCTGTTTGCATGCTCTCCCTATGCCTCCATGGGTTTTCTCCCACACTCCAAAGGCATGCTGGTAGGTAATTTGGCTATAAAGATGAATATTAATTTGGAATCTTAGATTGTAAGCTCCTTGAGGGTAGGGACTGGTGTAAATGTACCTGTATTTTACCCATTCTAGACAAAATAACATCCTTTTCTCAAGTAGCAGCGTAAACAGTCAATAGTTGCCTTCTTTCATTCTTTCCCTGTAGCCGTACTCCACAGAAATACTTATCAGTGTCAGGGAAAGGGCAAGTCTTCTCCTACCTCTTCAACCTGCAGGGTTTGGTCCTTGAGTGGCCAACTTCCAGCCCTGAGCTTTGCCTTGTGGTATGTATAGCCTCATATAAGAATCAGGTTTATCTGAATGTGGCAGAGCAGCCGGAGGAGGCCTAGTTCTGACCGTGTACAGTGCCTTCTGTAAAGTGAACCATTTCATCTTACCAGATGGGTGATAACTGCTACCACCATGGTTCAACATTTCCAAGTCACCCATCCTCTTGTTAACGGTTTGTAATACTATTCTGATTTAGTTCTAGAAGTCCATGATGGATGGAAGAGTCCTTCCCCAGTGAAACAATTGCTACAATTTTACTTACGCCATCCTATGGAGTCATCTTATTGTTGCCCCAACCAGTAACATGTTGCTTCATCATTGCTCTCACGCTAATCGGCAAGTCCCGAAAAGGTTTACAGCATTGGAGCCACTTTCACCAATGATAATGAAAGTCTCATTTTCATATTCTTGCTGCTCGTAGAGTCCTACTGCTGATAGAATCGGTTGTTTAAAATGGCCCCTAGGCTCTAGTCCTATTTCTGTTCTGCTTCAGAACAGGTCTTCATTGGCTGTTGATGATACCAGGTGATCAAAACCTAAATGTGTGTTAACCAAGACAGGCCTAAGAAGCATCTTCACCCAGATATATTTACATTGCCTATTGAAATATATGCAAGTCTTTCAGTCCAATCATGTGCTAGTTCTAGTTCTCTCTAGTGAATGGACGGGTTTTGTTCTCATGAATATGACGTGTCAGTGATGTCACTGGTCTTTAGTGATTAGAAGGGTTGTGCTCTCATGAATACAAAGTGTCCGTGATGTCACTGGTTTCTATGATTGGATGGGTGGTGTTCTCATGAATACAAAGTGTCAG